GGCTATTCTCACGCTCTTGGGCACTCATGGTCAGGCATCGATCTCTCATGGCTGCCCTCTCCCATTGCTTCACCCAGCCGGACGAGCCAAGCGGACGCCGGGCACTTTGCAGATTCGTTATTGCGTCCACCTCGAGAGCCGCCCTCGACTTCTCCGCGCACTGCAACAGCAACATCATGGCATCCCACCGACACCCGCCAGAAGACGAGCAGAGGTACTGAAAATGTCAGCATCGGTGATGGTGGTCAAGTCGGTACCGAGCACTGCCCTACATGTGGATGCGTAGGGGCGTGCGCGCGTGCGGGCCACGTGACAGGACTACCACCAAGACCGCGCAAGCAGCGAGAAGTGAAGAGTATGAGCAGACTCTTTAAGAAGAAACGCAAGCTAGAGGTGGAAGGCAAAGACGCTTCCGAATGGGATGCAAAGATCGTTGCACTGGCTGAGAAGGAGAAGATCAGGGTACCCATAAGCCAGTACGACTACTACGTCAACATCAAGAAAGGAGGTTGGAGACAGGCCAGGCCACAGCTGGCTGCGGAGCGCGACGAGGCGGCGCGCTTGCGAGCGCAACCAAAAACGCTTGACAAACTTGATATGAAGAGCTTGTACGATTTACGCGACCGCGCACGGGCCGAAGGCAAGTCGTATGCAGCTGTTCAGGCACAGATCGAAGTCAAGGCAGCAGAACGAGGCTTTGCTCGGGCCCCCGATACTTTGAGCGGCTGGTACAATCGTCGTAATGACAGAACCCCACTGGCCGACGAAGCGCCCAAGCACAACAAATGGACAGGTATGACCAAGCTGTTCCGAGCGAGAGAAGCTGCACTCAAGGAGCACAAAGATACTGAAGAAATTGACGATGAGATCGGTGCAATAGCAGCACAGCGCGGAGTGCCCTTCCCAAGGTCAGCAAGGCACTTTAATGCTCTGATTTTCAGAAAGCGCAAGGCCGAGAAGCAAGCCAAAGAGGAGGCAGGGCGGCATGCCGCTCCTCAAGAGTCACCAGAGCGGCCTGCGAGAGGGTCCGACTCCTCGCCTAACACTGTGCTCGATCATCCGCCTGTCCAAGGTGTTTGATGGCAGTCGTAGTAGCAGTCCCCTCTCCACGCACGTGATACCGTTTGGCATGTGTCGACATGACTCCATGAGAGGATCGCATGGCATGCCATCTCACGTATTTCTAAAGTTCTGTCTCGAAGCCCCGTGCCCTCGAATGCTTCTTTCGAGCTTGCTGAACAAGTCCATGGAGATTTTGTGCTTCACAATCGCACGCCTTGGTTCGCCTGACACAATCTCAGATGTTCTGAATGTCGCAAATCGTGAGGGTTGATCAGCAATGCTTTCTTGTTGAAGATGTGGTTGTGAAAGGTAGTCACGCGTACTTGCTAGCAACTTGTCAAAGGATGCTTCGCAGGCATCCATCCAGCGTGAATGCACCTACGACAAGCGCCTTGAGGACCTTTGGAGGTCATCATGCGACATCACGTGATCAGACTTATGCATGCGTCGCTTGGGTCAGCGCGCGCGGATCAACGTTTCGGTCAAAGTGGCCCCTTCACGGTCTCACATCTCTCTGCCCTCTCTCTCGCTTGCGATCCTCAAGTCATCATCATCTGTGCAGCTCACCTTCCAAACCTCCTGCAACGCTGCATCTTTTTCGGCACTCAAAAGGTCGATAAGACGATCGCATGGGCTCTATACCTGTGCTACCTGTGCTGAGTCCTTGCATATAGCGCTGGCAGACCGCAGTGCCTGGCTATGATCAA